CATCACGTGATGAAGAAAGCAAATGACAGGAATACACAGTGTTTGTGGTGCCTGTTACGATGTTGCCTTTTTCGCTCGCCTAATGGCTCAGAACGGAATCCCTGTCGTGGAGCCACGGCGCAACCCCGCACCGAAAAAACCTCAAACCTTTCCCAACTATAGTTTAATGGGGCCCAAAACCCTATTCTAGTTATTGAGGCCCCTATACTATAGTACCCGTATAGATCCCTTATAGTAACCCTCATGGACCCTTTTAAAGGAATCCTATTCTCTTTCCCATGAGGTGCTGCCGCAGAGCGCACCTTCCTGCCCTCCACAGGCCGCGGAGGATCAGCGAAGGCTTTGACAGCGCGACCCTCCTCCACCGCCTTCCAAGGCATAGCAACCGTTGCCAAAGTGAAACCCCGAACTCTAAGGGACTTAGGGATATAGGGTTCTTAAAAAGGGTCCTATAAGGGCTTCTATAAGGGATCTATAGAACACCCTGCATTAACCCTAAGCACCATAACAACAAGATGAAGACCCTCTAGAGCCAAACAGCAGTTGTGGAGTCTACTTAGAGGTTCATGGGTAGTTATAGGTAGCCCTAACATGGGTTGTAGGTACAGTTACCTACTTATGACTCTACTATGAACTTCCAAGTTCTGACGGGACACTCGGCCAGGGTCCTCGGTCCGAGCCTCGAGGAGCCCATGTAAAATGGTCGGCGGCACTCTCGGCAGTTTGGGGACGTTCGGGTTTGCTTACCTTTGGTTAGTAGGGAATGGAGGAATGGGGTAGAATTATAACTACTATTACCATTCTTCCATTCCCTACTAACCGGAGGTAAGTTTGGGGTTCAGGGGTAGCATTCAACTCCCCTTACCCGTTTCCCCACAGCTGAAGTCCGCCAACCTAGACCCCAGAACTCCTTATCAAATGTGTAATATGGAAGCTCAGAGCCTCTATCCTGCAGCTCGTGCGTGAACGAACGGGGTTTGTGATGGTTCGTCACATTTGAAACCTGAGATTGGGATTGAACAGTTGGTACTTCATTGCTCGAAACTGCTGGAAACTGCAGCCTGTGGATCTTTTGCAGGGGTAGGAGAAGCCTGTCTTGACAAATTCCTTCAAATGGTTAGGTGGCGAATGTGGCGATGCCTCGTGGAACAGCAGGACTAGACCTGCGAGGCATCTATGGCATGCACTTGAAACATGAATCGATGGCATCATGGCATCACTCCGTCTTGGAGTTCCGCCGGAATCGGCTCGGGGGCGCATCCCTTTTAGGGAGCGGCTCTGGGATGTTGAGCGCCACGACAATCACTGCTGCGTTGTCGGCCTTCGTAGCCTTGCCAGCTGCTTCCAGCACTGCTTTGGCAGCTTCCTCTACTGATTTGCTCTCCCGCAAGACCTTCCTGGCGGTGGTGATAGCAAGTTGCTCGCGCAAGCCATCCCAGATACCGTCGGTAGCCAGGATGACGAATTCTGTGGTTTTCTTCACTTCGATGCTGGTCACGTCAGGTGCGTTGCTGAGGCCCAGGATCTTTTGCCCGGTCTTGTCCACAATGTCCCCAAGGGCCCGAGAGACCTGGACCTTCCCATCGACGTAACCGCCCTCGACGCAGACGCCGAGCTCCTCCAAGCGCCGCTTCTCCTCATCGTTCTTGTCGGGGTGGTGGTCTCGCGTCGTTGTGCCAACCTTTCCGTTCTCGCATACAACTGCTCTGCAGTCCCCCAGGTTCAAAAGGAGGAGCTCGTCTTCCTGAAGGAGCGCAATGCAGGCAACTGTTCCGGACGAAGTACCGGCTGTGAACACTTTAGCCTCCTCTTCCAGCTCTTTCTGCATCAGCTCGTCGACTGCTGCGAACGCTTGATGTGCGGCTTCTTCTCTGCTGCTCCCTTGTTCCAGATGCTTGTCCAGTTGTAGTGGCAGGAACTGCTTGGCTAGTACTGTTGCCTTCTCGCCTCCGTGCCCGTCGAACACAGCGAAGCAGGCGCGTCCCGCACCATTATCGCTAATGGATACAGCGTCTTCCATGCGCACTCTGTCATTCTTTGCTAGGGCAAACCCGTGCTGAGAATTACCACCCGAGGCGTAGTCTGGCAGCAAGGGTGGATCTTTCTCCCGTGCTCCACAGCACGGGCACAAGTTGCCCTTGGCTCACACGCCTTTCACAAATATGTGGACTATGTCTATGCAATTGAAGCCGGGATTCCGGCACATGGCCAGGGGCTACCCCACCCAAGCGCAAAGCCCTCTTGGTTCATGAAATCGTTGGAAAGTCTCCTGTTGGCTGCAGATTTCACTTCACTGCACTTCAAAGTCCGTGGTCCACACTGCTCTAGCTTGGGCCACAAACAGGGCATTGCATCGTCAAAGGATATTGCAACGAGCCTACAAGTGCATGCTGCTGGCTGGAGGGCTCTCGTGTGAATGCTACTGTAACTACTGCATGAGAATGGGAATGATGATGGTGATGAGAATGGGTAGTTGTCAAAACTAAGGTCCCTTTTAGGGTACCCTAAATAATAGGTGCCGTACTATAATTCATGAGCCAACAAGAACCCTAATGTTGACAACTACCCGAATGAAGCTTGGCCCAACCTTGGGGTCGAGCACCGGTGCTGGCCTCAACACGACACTCATCACGTGGGAGTTTCCGAAAACAGGGGGCCCCAATATAGTACCCTAAATAGTAGGATCCTTATTATGAGGACCCCCATTTAAGGTACCCCTAATGTTCGGAAACTCCAACACATTCACACAAGATCACTTAGGGAAATTCGCAGCGCCCGAGCCGAGACACCTCAACCAACACAACCGGCAAACGTCGCCGAAGGCAGGTCGAGTCTAGAGTTCAGGATATCAAGAACTCCAGGATCATAGAAGCATCAAGAAGAACAAGACGTTATCGTCGCCGCTGTCGACCTCCAGACTTGGGTCCTTTGGGGCCTTTGAGTAGACTCTGTCTGCATCTAGTGTAACGGATTACGGAAGCAGCACACTTCACTGCTGCCCAGCCGCTCCATCAATGCCTTGTCTTTCACCTTGAGGCTCACCTGCCGGTGCATTGTCACGTCGTGAGGTCAAGAGACAAACGCACAAAAACACACTCGTTATGATTACAGAACTATGATGGGGGCGATGATGCAGAAAATAAGACTAGAAGGCGCGTTGTCTCCCCGGCAAAAGAACTCGCGAACACCCCAGCACCAGAAGTCCCAGACATCGTCCCGCAGAGACACAGCTCCAAGATCTGAAGTTGAGAGCCAATCAGCCCCTGACAGATGTCCTCTTGGGCCCCGGCCCAGCCGCTTTCTGGTCCAGTGCCTGTCAACCTCTCGAACTGCAGCCGCTCACCCACGAGCTTCACCTACCGATGCAGAGATGCGATCAGCTTTGAGACCTACTGTAGTATGTATATATATATATATATATATATGTATATAGCTATATTCTTCTGCATATATTCCACTTGAGATGAAGAAACCGATGGTCATGAAGACGATGATGAGGTCGTGTTGGGAGGAGCCGGGGGCTCCTTTTAGAAACGCGACGACAAAGGACGACTCCTACCATGTCAGAGATGGAAGCAAAAGACTACTTGGCCTCGTAACCAGACAGCCAAGATCAACCGTCCACCATTGTCATTTAATGCAACAGGGCACGTAGACAAAGATTAGTCAGGAATCCAAGTCTGCCGCTTGATGCAGTCCATGTGATTCAGAGGCCCTCCGTGGAGATATTGCACAAGATCTCGGGATACTTTGCCGGAGCCCTTGCACACTTTGGACACAGACGTGGCATGACTGCAGCACCATGCAGCACAGTAACTTCGGGGTCGTCTCTCGTCACATATGATTGCCTGTCTTGCAGTGGCATGAGCTGTCTTGCTGAGGTCGGCATAGAAGATGCCATGCTTCCACAAAGGCGGAGCCTGCTTCACCAAGGCTCCATGAGACAATCGCTTCTCGGCCTCCCACGGCATCAGGGATACCAGGGCGGCTCTTAGAATCTCGGCAAAGGTCTCTGATCACTCTGACAACGAGTACCCTTGAAACGATCCTGATTCAACCATTGAAGCTGGATCAGGTCAAGGTGCAGGGTTCCATAGCATGTTTATAGTAGAATGGGCCCTAAAGCCCTATTCTAATTATTAAGGTTTCTCTAGTTATTAAGAGTAAAGGGTTTAGGGTTTCCTATTCCCAGTTCTAATCATTAAGGCCCTTGTATTAAGCATATAGTGTCCATGCGCTCCCTCCGGGCCTCGGAGGAAGTCAGCTCCTGCCCGGTTCGGACCAGAATGCCGCCTTTGTCAGCACCTGCAGCTGCCACATGGTATAGGAAGCAAACACGATACTCGATATCTGCAAGAACTGCACGTTGAAGTCAACTTTCTGGACAAACTCAGCAAACAACTGCATGAAGTCTCCACGAACAACTGATGCGAAGTACTCTTCTTGCTCTCGGCATGGCACCACCCACGACGCACCAGCGCTTCTCTGGCTCTTCCGACATTGCACAGCCCGCGCCGCAGAGAAAGCTGAACATCAAGGAATCAAAAGATCAAACGGTTCGAGCAAGTTGGTCCACTGAAATTGAAGCGTGCCGTGGGGGTACCAGGACGGAGACAATCTGAATGGTGCATCACATGTCTGCTATTTGAGCACGATAGTTGTAACGCACAGCTTGGTTTCGAGGGACTGGGTCATGAGTTGAATGTACCGCCCCAACCATGTCGGAATCTTGAGCCAAGGAAATGGAATGCAAACAAGTACGCTTCAGGGTATGCTGCCGCAACAGCTGCGACAGAATCGTCGACGTGAGTCAACACACCATCTATGCCTAGCTACTCTCATTTCTGCAGGGTCAAACTCATACGCATCACGGCAAGATCTGCAAGGGCTACTGTACAGGTGGCTACCGGTCGTCGCGGGGGCTGAGGGATAGTCCCGTCCACGTATGAACTCTGGCCAAAATAACATCAGCAGCAGCAAGTGAGCGTTGTGATCCTGGCCTCCTTCGTCTGTTTCTGGTGGAAGGAGTCTCAGTGAGAAGGCTGCAGAAAGCAGCTTGACGATCCGAGGCACGCTTGCAGATCGGAAAACTAGTTTGCATATGGCAGCTTGCCGAAGCTACCCTCGGAAGCTCCCTCAGCTGAACGTGACACATGTAATATGGGGGCCCTAACAATAAAAAATGGGTTTTGGGGGGTATATTATACTTTAGTCATAATAAGGAACCCCCCAACTTCAGTGCCACACTGGCTTCGATGCAGGAAGACGTCTTCGCTCACACCTCCACAGCACACGACAACTAACTGGCGGCCCTGTGCTGGTGACAACATGTAATATGGGGGCCTTAGCAATTAGAATAGGGTTTTGGGGTATTTTAAAACTATAGGCATAATAATAATAAGAATAATAAGAATAAGAATAAGAATAAGAATAAGAAGAAGAAGAATAATAATAATAATAATAGCAATAATAAGGAACCCACCAAAATAGATCAAAATAGTATAGGCTATAATTATTTGGGCCCCTGCATTGCTAGCTTCTGGTTACAATGCAGGACTGGCACCCTCACTTCATCCGCAGCGCAGGTGCAGCACATCGGCTTGTAAGACTATGCTGGCCCTTGCTTTGCATCAGCTGATTGCCGACGACTAGCACTAAATTATATCGCCGGAGCACGTTATGAAGCTTAGGTCAGGTGAAGAATCCATGCCGTCCGAGCCTGGTGGTGCATCTGGGCTCTTCGGCCAGGGCGCAAGGAAACCAAAGCCCTTGCTGCCAGAGAACCAGCGAACGCCTGAGTGATGCAGAAGCCACACGGACTCTTCGCTTATGTTCTTTGGCCACTGCTCAGGCTGAACGGAGCATCCAGTCTGAATTCCAGTCTTAAACCCCAGAGTTAAACCCTACTCAAATCCCGTAAACCAAAACCCCAACACCCTAAAACCCCAAAACAGTAAACCCCTGAAACCCCAAAACCCAAAACCCTAAAACTCCAAAACCCTCAAACCCTGAAACCCCCAAACCCTAAAACCCAAAAACCCCAAAACCCTAAAACCCCAAAAACCCTGAAACCCTAAGAACCCAACGAAAACCGAAACTCCGCAGCTCGGCCCTCGGCGTCCGCGCAGCCGGGAAGGTGCCCCGAGGTCGGCCGTGTCGCCTCACGAGTCGAAGCTCAAGGGGCCTTCGGACTAAACCCTAGGGTTTGGGGTTTAGGATATAGGTTTTGGGGATTGGGGTTTAGGGGTTATAAGGGTTAAACAGTATAGGGTTTAGGCCTTCTTTTTGTAAGTATAATTTACTGGGTGCTGTTGCTGTTTTTTGAACGCGAAGGAAGTCTGTATAAGCTCAAGAACTCGGGTTGCGAGAGGCATTCACTGAGTTTAGGGTTTATAGGGTTTTAGGGATCCGGGATGACCATGTGGGGATTAAGGCTTCAGGCTTTTATGGGGGTTATACCGGGTTTAGGGTTTCAGGGTGTAGGGTTATAGGTTTGTTTCACAAGATCTGTTGCATCCGCCCTTTTCCGATGGGTCAAGGCTGAAGGCTCTAAGCTTCTGCCCACAGGGAGCTACCAGAGATACCAGAAGAATCGGGTTGCTAGCGTTTTTTTTGATGTCTTTTGGTGACCGCAAGACGTCCAGGCTGGTCGAGGGGTTGCTAGGTTTCGGATTTAGGCTTGTGGTTCAGATCACCCTGGCTTACTGTCCAGATCCCGCACAAATACATGGTATGAAAACTGTTCCAGTACAAGACACAGAGCCCCATGTTTTTGCAGGAAGTCCAAAACACAAGAAGAAAGAAGGCTGAGAGAAAGGCCTCCGACGGGCAGAAACTGGCCGGGTGCCTCGGCGTGATGCCAGAAATCTGACCATGGAAGACTGCTGTACTTTGGTGCAATCAGGGCAGGATCCGAAGCATAAAGCCCTCCGTAGCTCCTAAACACGATCCTCAACTCTATACATGCTGCTCTAGAACGACTTAAACCAAACACTTTCCAAAACCGATAGGCCGTTGAGCTGGGCAGCTCGTGGATCCTCCATGAAGAGCTTCGTGCTTGCGGAGTGGAAGTAGATGCCCTCTTCGCTCGAAAGGCTCACACAGAAATGCTATCAGTTGAGGGCGCAATTGGGCTCAGTTTCGGGTGCAGGCTTACTGCTTACTGGAGTGTGCACAACAAATGCCTGTTGCAACATTTGATTGGCTCTTCTGCCACAGAAGCAAAAGCAGTTTTGTCATTGCACATTTCGCGGTAATCATGACTGCATTGTCGTGTACCGTTTTTTCTCATATCCTGTCCGCTTCATTGTGCCTCGGACTTGTTGAACAGCCAATCGCCACTCGGATGGCCCCACCTCGTTTGTAAGCGACTGAATAGTTCCGGCGGTGTTTGCAGGAAGCTCGGAGAAAACGGCAGGCCGTAAGCTCTTGAACCCTTAACCCTGCTCGACCACTCGGCATCACGACTGGATATCTGGTGCTTCAAAGTTCCCGGCCAACCACTGCCAGACGAGTCCAGGATGTAGTCCTCAGCAGCCGCCGCACCGGACATGTGCAGCTTGCAGAAGCCTTCAAGATTTGTCCATGTCTGCAGTTGTGCAGGCGTGGGTGTTGACCGTTTGTTTGTGTCTCTGCCCTGAGTAATCTCTAGACTCTAGACAAAAACGGTCAGTTGCACATGTGCGACAAGGACACAGTGGTGGCAGTGGTGCATGTTTCGCTGCGCCTAAGTCACCGGCTCCAGAAGCAAACGGAGGTGGTGCCAGGCCCGCTGCAGCAGCGGTCGGGGCTTGACCTGAGCTGCTGGTTCACTCGCGCATAGTGCCTGTCTTTGCGTATGTATTTATGCATCTGCATTGGCAGGTATGTATGAGCATAAGTACGAATGCGCGCAAGTCCAGTAGGTCAACCGCCCAATTATCCAGGTTGATCCACGCTCGAAGATGTAGACCCTCCTGCTATGCCACTTCTCTGATGGCAGAGCCCTTGCAGCAGCCGTTATAGTAGCCCAAACAGAACCCTTGTAGAAGAGAGAGAGAGAGAGAGAGAGAGAGAGAGAGAGAGAGAGACCCGGAAATGCAGAAGCTACTCAGTTCAGCACCTGATTTCTCCTTCTCATCCTCTTGAGGCTCCTCAGACTCTCGAACCTGGGACGTGGCGAGATAGTTTTTGGTTTTGAGCGGTTCTTTTATGAGGGTGGTAAAAGGGTTCTAGCTTAGGGCTGAGGATTTAGAGTGGATCATTCTAGACTCGAGAAGGACTGCAAAAGCGGACGCCTACGACGACAGGCTCCGGATTTTCACAGGCATGAGACTCCAAATGACAGCAACTACTCGCTCTTCCTTGGATAAGTAAATCGTTGCAAACCATCACAGGAGAGATGGTGCCTGGTGCATAAGAGTTCGTCGTCCTCGTGGAAGACGATACGGTCATACATACAGATGCTGCTGAATGATTGTTTGTCGCAGTTCTTTACGAAGGTGCGAGAGCAAAGGTTGGTGACGACTTCCACTGGGGCACAGGCGAGGATCAGTCGTGCCTCTAACAAGTCTTTGAACGTGGCCATTTCCTGCTCCCATCATGACCGATCATAAACACTCAGTTCAATCGCCTCAGTGACTCTACTCCTATGGTTACGCACAAAAACAGAGACCAACACTGACAGGTGTCGGCGAGAGCAAGCTCTGCCAAGTGCGATCAACGCCACTGCACGGCTCCTCCCAGGTCTTCTTGCCATTGACGGCGACTAACACATCCCCGGCTTGGAGAGTCCTCACGAGTGTGAATTCACCCGAGGCATGCATGCTGGAGCGCCGAAGCAGAGCACACACCAGCAAAACGGTTGAATCGAAGCCCCATAATTGCATCAGCACGCCTCCCTCCAGATCTCTTCTGCTCCTGGTTCCACCTTCCGATGCGAGAGAGCATGCACCACATACATTCACATAGATAGATGGATAGTTCGGACAGAGAGATCGATCGATAGTTCGGTACACAACTGCCACCGACTAGTATAAGTACCTACAACATTTGCTATATGTAAAAATGTATATGTATATATGGGGATGGGTCAATACCCCGCGTTGTCGCGGGGCCCCACCCTCCCCTCTGTTACAAACCTTTGTCGCGCCGGCTTTGTTACAAACCTTTGTCGCGCGGCAATGCTATATGAGGGACCTTGTCGCGCCAGCCTTGTCGAAAACAAACCATCTTTGTTACAAACTTTGTCGCGCAAGGGGTGCCCCGACCCTATCACAAACCAGAAAGTTTTGACCCGCTGCCATATGAGCATAGTATATAGGTGAAGTACCAATCAAAGCTTTATCATATATACACATGCATTATAAAATCTGCATCTGCAATCACTGCGGCTGCAAGGATGTTTGCTGCATATACTCGAGCTGCAAAGGATTGCAGAGCCGCGGGCGAAGCGAAACGTCTGTTCTTTGACTATTTGTGTGCGACTATCCTATCCTGAATACTTGTTCTATGTGGATACATCTTCTGTACTGTCTCATCCCACCAGCTGCACTCACGGGTATGACTTTGGTTTGCTCGCACCGTGCCTGTCAGCAGGACTTCCAGACACGACCTGGATGTTTCGATGGCTGTTGATGGAGCTTGTCAATGTCTTCGACGCAGCTTGGTCTGGTCTTGAAGGTCGCTCTGACGAAAGGGCGCAAGAATCTGGCAGCGAGCGCGCTGCCATCAGCATCGGCATCACCAGCAGTAGCAGCGCCAAAGCCCACCGTAGCACTCAAGATGAGACCATCATCAACGCGACACAAACAACATCTACTGAATCTACTGGCACCATCCCTACCACGCAGCTACTACGACCACTCCGACTACAACGACGACGATGACTACCACTGCTACCGCCACCGCTGCTGCTGCTGCTGCTGCTGCGGATTACTACCGCTATCCCACTCCTAGTCCTCCTACCTCTACCCGTCCTGCTGCTACTACAGTACGGCTAGAACTATATACTGCTACAGCACTGCCGCATACTGCCGCTGCTTGCTGCTACCACTACCACAAACACTGCCACTATCACTACCACTACCTGTACCACTACGTCGACGCTGATGGTGCTGCAGTCGCTGATACTGCTCAAGCTACTCCTCCTGTTCTTCTCCTACAGCAGGAGCCGGCATAGCCCTTTTGAACGAACGTGCCCAGGCCAAACCACCGCGAACAACATGTCATTTCGACAAAACAAGTACGACAAATAGCTATCACACCAACAGAACGGCCAACCAATCAGCGCCCATGCCAACACCACTGTAGCAAGAAGCGTGATCGCTCGAACGGCATCAAGGCGGCCAGCAGTCTCACGCAAAGAAACGAGTGACAACCACCCGAACAACGAACCTGCAGAATCACAACGAGCTTTCTACGACTCTTCTGCTTGCTTCTCGTGCAGTCAAGTTGCGCTTTGAACAACTCGCCGCTGCTGCTCGAATGCCGGGCGGGACTCAGTGATCGAGATCCCCATAATATGATAAGCCATAACACAAATAAGCAAGAATGCATAGAGCAGCCTTTCAAAGACAAGTAGAACGATATGACTCTTCAAGGCTTTGGGCGTGGAGTCTCGAAACCTCTGAGGCTCCAGGAAATTCCAATAGTTTCCTGTGTTGCCGTGTTAAACTATTTTGAACGCATGCCCAAGCAGTCTTTGTTGATGTGGTTGAAATTGCCTTGGCTAGACACTCTAACCACAGCTGCAGCTACTGACAGGCCACGAATCATGCCGTTGCCACGATGATGGAGATCGCAGTTCTGGCGGTGATGGTCGATGACGGTGCCGATGACACTGCTGCTTGCGATGGTCATGGTGATTGTGATGATGATGTTGGGGTGACGATTGTAACGCGGTGGTTGTGGCCACGATGATGCTGATGAGGATGGTCCCACGGTGATGGTCCTTCGTGATGACGAGGGTCGGACGAGGGTCGCGACGATGATGGTTGTGGTGCAATTCCTTACGTGCCGCTTGTTCTCTTGCTTCTTCACAGCCGTGCGGGAGCGCTCAAAGACCGAAATGAGAAATGATAATGGTGATGATGATGATGATGATGATGATGGTGGTGATCGATGGATGTGAACAGGGGCGATGATGAAGATGCCGCGGTCAGTTGCTGTGACAATCCTCTTGTTCCCGCTCCCTCATCTTACCTGGATCACCTGCTTTTGCAGTTGCACAAGGATGGTGACTACAGACTTTTGAGCCCGAGACCCAGGTGATGCCCCAGACTTGCTGCAGGGAAGCTCGGGAGAGGTCTACCTGCTGCAAGAGCGGGGAAGAAAAAACGTCCAAGGCCTGGAGGCTTTGAGGTTCCGTGTCAATCCGATATTGGAAGCGTTCGAACTCTGTGGTGTTGGCTTCAGGATGCACCAGCCTAGCTCTAAAACTGTGGGGAACTTCTCTGAGGAGCTTGGAACTCCGGACAGTCTGTGCGATGACCGTTCAACCAAAAATGTTCCTGCTCGACTGTTCTTGAGGTATAGGGCGGCTTCAGCCGTGCACACAACTGAATACTTATACTCGTAACTACAACACACATTTCTTTCTAGTGTCTTCATGTGTGCGACCTGATCATCCACTTCTGCTTCTCATGCCTGGTACGTTCTCGACTCCAGTGCGTGCACCGCCTGGATAGCCTTGTGGCAATTTGCTGACAAAGGAAGCTCCACTTTGTGGTGTACTCATGCCAGGCGAAGGCGAGCGAGTAATGTGAAGGCGGGAGCGAATCCAAAAGAGCAGTCCGACCCATGCAGTGCTGATGAGGCACAGATTCGTTCTGGCGGACGAAGTCGATGCCTCAGCCCCCAAGCTGAAAGTTCCACGGCCACGCAGGGGCGATGGAGTGCGGCCACTGAGCTCTGGAGCAAACTCAGGATCAAACACCTGGAGAGCATCTCCTCCGCTGCTGGATTGACCTGGAGGTGGACAAAGCTCTCTCACGTATTGAAACGAAGCTTCAACTTCGCTTGCAAAGACATGAGCTGTCATGACCGTCAACATTGGCTTGGACGGGTGGTGCAGCCTTGTGTTGCGCCTGCGCGCGCTGCACGGCGCCTGATCATGCGGTCTTTTGATTTTGGCATCAAGCTGCGGGACGTAAACAGCATCAGCTTGCAGGGGTCATGGATGGCTTAGGCTTAGGTCCGTTACAGATTAGTAGTGTGCACCATTAAAGCTACGAGCCAAACAGCCCTTCAGCCAGGACGACCATGCCTATGCCGATACTGCCACTGCCACTTCTACTACTGCTACTGCTACTGCTACTGCTACTACTGCTGCTACAAGTGGTACTACTGCTACTAAAATCACTATACTATCACTGCTGCGACTATGTCTACCCCTGCTATTGCCACTGCTAAATACCTACTATTGGCCATCCGATTGTGCATGTTGTGAGCGCAGAACTCTGGGGAATCGCACAACTTGAATTTTACAGGCAGCATCCGAGAACTAGGCAGGGGAATTGGTTGACATAACACCACGATCTCCATCAAGATCATCATAATTATGGTCACACCCCCAGTCCGGCTCATGATTGTCACCAGGATCACCACAGTCATGGCTGTGGCCATGGTCAAACATCACCATAATCTTCGTCATGATCAGCACGATGATGCGGAGTGAGTAGTACGAACCCACTCCGTTTTCCAGCATGTCTTGAAGATTAAGCTAGGATCTTCAGCTTGTTACTGTCACGGCGTCACAGCAGGCTCCATTGTTGTTGTAGGGGCAAACGCTCATACTGCAATGTACATCGAACCTTTGCATCATTCACTCCAACAAGCAGTGCGATGGAGCCGAAAGCATGTGAGTCCAGGTGCACTTGGGCCGTGGCTTCTCTTTCTCTCGCCCAAAGGCATCTCCTCCTCCAAGATAGCCTGGGCCCAGGACGGGTTGCAAAAGCATCCTCTATACAGCGCGGGAGACTTGTGGCGAAGCCTTAAGGGATGCAGGAGAGTCATCACAATTATGGACGACGACGACTGCTACTGCTACTGCTACTACTCCTCCTGCTGCTGCTACTACTACTACTGCTCATTGTTACTGCTCCTTACAACTCACTTCTCATTACTAGCCGCAGATCTTGCTACTGGTGTCATCGATGCCATCGACATTGTTTACCAGCATTCGCATTGCCCCACCAGCCGACCTTCCTCAGCTTCTCCGGGAACAGGCTTGCCTGCTGGCGCAAGTCCTGTGAGAGGTTGTGCCTACAACTCTCGGCTCAGAACGCTGAGCCTTCAGGATGTATCTAAGCTGGTTTTGATGTAGTCCTCCAGCATCTGAGCAGCAATCGACGAGGGAACTCCTGAATCGGCGATGTTACGGCAGGCGTACTGCAGGAAGTGTGGGTGCACATCACCGAAAGCTGCAGTGACTAGACCCGTCTCAAGAAAAACATCTAACAGCAGACGCCAGAGTGCGTCCTTCCGCAAAGCGAGAATGGCTGCAAATGTCGAAGAGATCACTTGGGCCTGGGACGAGCCGCAAAGAGTCATTAAGTTTTATACGAATATGCTTGAATTCATCCCTCTGCCGAAACAAAAAACTGCCAGGCTGAAGATGAGCTGGCTGCAGTGCGTTTCGCTTCTACGCGACACGCATGATTCACCTGATCCAGCACCTTCTAGATTCTAGAAGCTCTCAGTCATCATGATTGCATCGTGCTGGGACTTGACTGGCTAGCTCAGCTTCCACCAGTGACACACATACACGTACGCACACAGAGATGCAGACAGGCAGACAGACAAACACATATACAGGCGAATCGGGCCGGAAATGGACCTACTCGATCGAAACTGCGAAACTCGACAGAAGGTGCGAGGCTGCGAGAGGGCTACCAGCATATGCCATTCAAACCTTTGTGCACCCTGGAAACTCCTCAGCTCCCTGCGTGTCTGCCCCGTCGCAACGGTCTCCAGCGCTCGGCATAGCCATCTTGACCTTGCCTTGTCATTGTTCTGCAACCGTAAAAGCATCTGCTCT